TGTGTGTGTGTGCGTGTGCGTGTGCGTGTGCATGTATGTGTCTGTATGAAACTGTTTGTGTGTGCGTGTACTCCCGGTTGAGGGCACAAGAATCATGGGGCTCGGATTCGCAATACACAATACATTAAAAATAGACAAGCGAAACTCACGCCACATTTGAAAATCTGCCACAAAGCACCCAGCGCTATAGCCAGGATAGGTAGAGCCACCATGCCAAATCCAGCACCCTGTACCCAGCCTTCAAACTCGTAGTCATCGTAGGCCACTGGCTCATACTGGACACCGGACAAGATCAGCATCACCTGGGGTGGTTTGGTTTTGTTGGGGTGGGTAGGGGGGGGGGAGTCGAAGAACATTTATTATTATTTTTCTGTAATACATGTATGTAGTTGAGCTGGTTTCTTGTCACCGTGAAATGTTTCATCTTTTGTGAATGAAGTATTACGTTCAGTGATCGTGTGATTGATGTAAAGTGCTCAGAGCCTACTCTTTATACGGAATCCAGCGGTATTCTAATGCAGTATATTATATTACAATTATTCTTGATAAATTATGCACAGAAGAGCAATCTATTATATTATTATTATTCTTGATTAGTAGAGTACAGAAGAGTAGGCAGCCATGGAACAGTATCCAGAGAGTAGCCTAGGACGGGGAAATGTGGAAAGTGTTTGTTCGTGACCGAGACTCAGATCCAGGGCGAATAAAGCAATGATGATGATGACGATGATGATGATGATGATGATGATGATGATGATGATGATGATGATGATGATGATCATGATGATGATCATGATGATAATGATGATGATGAGGATGATGATGATGATGATGATGATGATGATGATGATGATGATGATGATGATGATGATGATGATGATAACTTTCTGTTTTTTATGTAGGGTTACTTTGAGCGGGAGAGAAGAAGAAACGACGTTTCTGCAGCGGACAATAAATACACATGAAGTAAGTTCCACCTACTTTTGCGTTTGATATCCACAAGATTTGACGTCCTATATACAATAACCCTTTAAGTCTGACACCACGATGTGCATGTCATGACACACACAGACACACACGCGCACACACACACACACATACACATACACACAAACATACACACAGCCACACACACACACACACACACACACAAACAGACA